ACATTTGTCTCTTCCCTTCCTTCTTAGGACACGAAAAAAAAAAAAAAAAAAACCATGAAAAATTTCAGAATTGCAAGGAGAGAGGCCAGTGCCAGGCTGCCCCCTGGCCCAATGCCCGCGCTGGGAAATGGTCAACTCATCCAGGTCTGTTTCATCAGCATCCGCCCAGGTGGATTCTTTTGAAGCAAATCCCAGATGTTGTAGTTCACAGGCAAATACTGGAAGAACTTTTTTGTTGTTTTTACAATTTTATTTCTTATTTCTTTTTTTTAAATGAAGGATTACCTTCTCTTCTGGCTAGAGAAACATGTCAGCTTGATTCCGCAAGGCTCATCTTTGCACAAGACATTTCTCCTAAGGGCAAAACCAGCTTCCCAGCAGCCTTGCCTCGGAATCTTCACCCTCCGGGAAAATACACAACTTGTCACTGGTCCTTGAATTGTGCCCTGGGGATGCCTTTGGGCTTGAAGATCTTAATTTGATAGCCGGCCAACCAATATGGTTTATTTCTCCTTCCTAAATCCTTTGTTGGATTCTCGAGGGGCTCTGCCTGAGGCACTTGCTATAGGTAAAGGCTTGCGATTTTTAAAAATTGATTAATTAATTAATTTTTAGACGGAGCTCCACTCTTGTGGCCCAGGCTGGAGTGCAATGGTGTGATCTCAGCTCACCACAACCTCCACCTCCCAGGTTCAAGCAATTCCCCGGCCTCAGCCTCCCGAGTAGCTGGGATTAGAGGCACGCGCCACCACACCCAGCTAATTTTTCTATTTTTAGTAGAGGTGAGCCAGGCTGGTCTCAAACCCCTGACCTCAGATGATCCACCTGCCTCAACCTCCCAGAGTGCTGTGATTACAGGCATAAGCCACCATGACCGGCCAAGGCTTGTGATTTCTCAGGAGCCTGGAGGTTTCTGGGTGGGTGAAGGGACATTTGAAATGTGATTATTACCTGTCATGGTGGAATGCCTGCGACATGCTGCTTCCCAGCCATGGTCTGGTCTGCTGCTCATCCCGCCATGCCGTGTGGAGGACACTTTCATGCAGCGGCCCACTTGGGTCTGAGAATCAGAGAAGCTGGAGTTCGCCTCCTGCCGCTAACTGCGTGACCTGTGCATGCGTGCTTTATCGGCCCAGCCTCTCCTTACCTGGAAGATGGGATCCTGCTAGCACCTGTGTGATGGAGCTCGCAGAACAGCGTCTAGCGCATGGCAAGTCCTTGTGATGCTGGAGAGGAAGGAGCCAAGAAACAAAAGCAGGTCGCACAGCTGGGAAGTTGCTGGAGCCAGGATTCAAACCCAAAGCCGTCAGACCCTGAGCCCTGGCCCCTTTGTCCAGCAGCAGCAGGCACCCCTGAGCTCCCTTCATTAGCATCCACTGACCCATCGGGACCAGTGACTTTTGGTCTTGATCTGAAAGGCCTCTTTGCTGGGACCCATCCCATGGACGCCAGGGTTAGGGGAGATGTCCTGGGAAGCACTTTCCTTAAGAGAGCAAGGGCCTTGGGAACCCGTAGCAAGGGGGACCTCTCAGCCAACGGGGGAGCGGAGAGGAAGCAGATGAAAGCCACTCCTCCCACCTGTGGACAGGTAGCTTTAGTGTGACCCAGTCCAGTTCTTTGGGTTTTTTGTTTTGTTTTGAAACAGCGTCTCACTCTGTCACCCAGACTGGAGTGCGATGGTGCCATCTTGGCTCACTGAAGCCTTGACCTCCAGGGCTCAAGAGATCCTCCCATCTCAGCCTTCCAAGTAGCTGGGACCAGTACTTTTTTTTTTTTTTTTTTTTTTTTTTTTGAGATGGAGTTTCGCTCTTGTTACTCAGGCTGGAGTGCAATGGCACGATCTCGGCTCACCGC